TCATCCGACCAGCCGAACTTTCTACCTGCAATCACCAGCCAGCACGTCACATTCTTGCCTAAAACTTTTCCTAAGACAGTAAATAAATGTGAAATGTATTAAAAAATAACACCTGGCCTTTTAAGAAAAATCTCTTCCAATTATCTGTTACTTCTTAGTGAACATAAGGCTTAGATTCCTGGAGGAGAATGATGTAAGAAGAGACACATACAAGAAGTTCCATTTTCCAAATGGGACTGAGAACTATGCCCAGTTACTTGGAAAGGAATCCTCCATATCCAGTCGTCCCTTTGAGAGCAAAAACAGAACAGTAACAAGACTCACTAATTCATTTGCGCCCTTCCATTCTACTGCAGTCTACCACCTGCATGGGCAGGTGTCACGGGCTGAGTAACAAGTGTCCCGGTCAGACTTCCTCCCTGAGGAGCAAGGACCTCTTTATACAAAATGAAACTAACATTTCTACAAGCCTGCCATTTTTACATGCAGTACGTGACTTCATCCTCACAACTGACTAGGTAGACACCAATGTGTGGGTTTCCCCCACATCACCAGGCAATTCTCCAACGCCAGCTGGGTGTCCTACAATTCAATTCAATTCTGATACTATCTACCTGGAGACAGCATCAGATCCCACAGCTTAAGGTCTCAGTCCTACAAGACTGCACCAGCCGCCAACTTCAGGCGACAGCTGCAACTCCAGGTTGTCACCTATGCTCCTGACTAACCAGCTATATATCTCAGAGGTTCCATTAGCTCCTGTTAGTCTCCATTAATTCGGTAGAGTGGCTCAAAGAACTCAGAGAAGCATTTTACTTACTAGATTACCAGTTTACCAAAAAAGGACATCACGCAGGCCCTGGCCAGTGTGACTAAGCTGGTTGGATCATCATCCCGTGGACTAAAAGGTCATGAATTCAATCCCCAGTCAGGGCGCACACCTAGGCTGTGGGTTCAATCCCCCCGTTGGGGCACATACAAGAGGCAACCAATCAATGCTTCCTTCTCACATCGATGTTCTCTCTCTCCCCTCCTTCCTCTCTCTAAAAAGCAATGAAAAAAATGTCCCCGGGTGAGGATAAAATAAAAGAGATTTAATGTTTAAAGGCTATAACTCAGGAACAGCCAGGTGGAAGAAAATCAGATGAGGAAAGATGTGGGAAAGGTGCGGAGCTATCCCGCTCTCTAAAGAGAGGGCCACTCTCCCAGCACCTCCGCGTGTTCACCAGCCCAGAAGCTCTACAGACCCTGTCCTTTCGCGGTTTTGTGGAGGCTTCATTACACAGGCGGCACTGACTGAACCAGTGGCCACTGGCAACTGAACTCAATCTCCAGCCCCTCTCCCCTCCCCAGAGGTGGGGGTTTCTCTCGGCAACCAGCTCCTAACCTTGGTGCCTTCCAAGATTCACTTGACATAACAAAAAACACTTTTATGGATATCATCACCTTGAAAATACCAGGAGTTTTAGGAGCTCAGTGCCAGAAATGGGAACAAAAAACAAATGCACCGTATTTTTAGGACTGTAAGACGCACTGGACCATAAGACCTAGGTTTTAGAGGCGGAAAATAGAAAAAAAATTTTTGAAGCAAAAAATGTGGTAAAATATTTAATAACCTATGACCCCGCTCCACCACTGCCACCCCACCCAGAGCAAGCCAGGTAAGCTACATTCAAACTACAAGACACACACCCCTTTCCTCCCAAATTTGGAGGGTGCATCTTATAGTCCGAAAAATACAGTATGTCTTTCTTATAAATCACAGTACCACAACAGACCTAATTCTTGCGCTCAGAGAGGTAAGGCAAATGACACAGCTGAAAAAGGAAGAGCCAGGATTCACAGCCAGATCTTGAGAGCTCATGCACTCTCATGCCAGCCTGCCCAGGGCATATCAACAGCCTCCCAAAAGAAATGAAACAATAAATCAGCCTAATGATCAATGCCACACACATATACTGAGAACCTAATGTGTGGCAGGCACAAAATGTGCAAAACACTGAGAAGTAATAAAATGAAGAAGCTGCACTGCCCGCAAAGCCCACAAGCCTAGTGGTGGCATGGCTGTTGAAACGCTTGACTATGGTACAACACACTGTACACAGTCAACCAGACCATCGGTCTTTACTGAGCACCTTCTAGATGCTTCTGGAGGCTGGGTATACATCAGTGAACAAGATAGCATAATATCGCTACCCACACAGAGCTGATATTATGGCATATGAGGCAGAAATAAACAAAATAAAAAAGCATAATGTACAGAGTGTTAGTTGGTAATAAGCGTGATGGAGAAAAACAAAGAGGAATAGAAGTGTAAGGGAGTTGGTACCATTTTAAATCTGTCCCAATTTCAGGTAGTTCCCACAGCTCCATTAGCAAGTAGTACTACACGCTGTGTTCATGGCTGGCAAAGTGTCACAGAAGAACGAGGGTGTGAAAGGACAGAGAAGGGAACTGGCTCCGCTAGGTGGGTAATGGTGAGAGGGTGTGGGCTGTGGAAAGTCTCCAGAACGAGATGAGGTCTGAGCAAGTGAGTTTCCTTCCCTTCTCTTCCCTTCCCCTGCAGGAAGATGTCTCCTGGCCTCACCACTGCAGGGCATGAATCAGCTCTGAATGACTTCACAAAGCATTTCCAACAAATGTCTGTGGGTCTGTCACCTTTGCCAAAATCTTTGTGTCGAGCCCTGATCAATGTTATAAGCTTATGCAATAATGTCAGCCTTTTGTGGGTCATGAAGGCAAACAGCAATTTTTAGGACTTTACTAAATTATAAAAGAAATACATAATCACAGTGTAACAGGGGGGTCTAGCCGGATCACTGGGAGGTGGGGAGAAATCCCAGAGTGAGAGGTTGCACCCCCCTGGAGAAGGGAGGGGCCGGAGGAAACCCCAAGGCAGAGAATTGAAGAAATAGCCTGCCCTGCTCCTAAGAAGGGAGGGACCCCTGAGAGGGGCTGGAAAGGGCCAAAGGCAGCCCTGGAGCTGGAGCATGATACCATAGCCCCAAGGCAACAGTAAACAACTAACACTCCTGACACCTCTTGCCCAGAACCTGCACAGGCTTTGGGGGCTGAAAGGTCACGATGCACATGTAAAACCCTTTCACCTCATTCTGGATCATGATGGCCAGAGGAGAGGCTGGGACACTGTAAGCCGACACACGTGGTGAACATTTGCCCAAACTGGCTAGAAAGTGGGACACTCACACAGCATGTAGGATTTGCAGGGAAAGATTTTAAAAGGTGGGTGCGCAGCAGCTCCCTCTCTCTTCTTTGCCCTTTGCCCCAGGCCCTGCTTGGATACCCTTTTGGCATTCCCCTCACTTACCTGGTCAGGAGCCAGCCCACGGAGGCTGAGGCCCACTCACAAGACAGGTGCCCCACCAGCAATGGGCCCGCAGGACACCATGCCCCACTAATGGCTCTTGCCTTGCCCTGCTTTCACAGTCTGAAACAGGCTTGTGCAGGACACACACCTCGCCAGCAGCAGGCTCAGACAGGACACTGTGGCCCCATGCCACTTGGCACAGGTCCTGGACAGCTCCCGTTCTCTTGCACTGAGAACATCCCACAGACACTCAGGCTGGGCAAGTTTGCCAGCCCCAAGGGCACAAGCAACCCTGGACTCTGGGGGCCTGGTGGACTGAGCCCCTCGCATGACCAGCTACAGGGGTTTGACAGAGCAACCCAGACTAGGGAGAGGAGGAAGCTGCAGGGGGGCAATGGAGACACAGGCCTCCCAAGTGTGTGCTCCAGACAGAGAGCCTGGAGCTGGAGAGATGGAGATCCATCCTTGGACTCCACAAGGGCAGATAAGAATGGAGGCGATCTCTGGGCATCGGTTTGGACTTCAGTCTTTTTGGGAACATGGGAATTTCTGTGTTTTACACAAGACAAAGGCCTGGAGCTGGGGAGCTCCCACCTCCCCTAAATTGGGCACCATGTTAATAAAAGCCTTTTCCTTCCCCACCAATCTCTGTTTTATGGTTGTGTATGGCAGCAGGCAGCCAAATCCCATTTAGCACTCTAACGACAGTATAAAATATGAAAAATATTAGAAAATATAAAGATTTCCAATATTTTTAATTACAACATTACCTGTATTCATATTTTGGTACATTTTTTGCCAGAGTTGTTTAACCCTGCAGAGGTCATGGTCAAAAATTTATAGCGTAGGTCCCATGTATCACACACCCTTACAAGACACATGTTACAACCAAACTGCTTAAACATTGTGTCTTAACATTAGTCACATACAAACATGTAGCCAGTCATGGCCTTGGACCTATGCACCTGATGTGTGTAACAATATTTAAAAGAGTTTGCATCTCTCAGATCAGCTACAACCTCCTCAGGGTTAACATAACTAGAATCACTCTACATCCATATAATTTTGTAACCTAATTTTGTTATTTTTTACTAATTATATAACTTTTTAATTCTACATATCCATTTTCTGCTTTAAAAAATTCTACACAGACATCAATTTAATGGCTATATAACATTCCACTCTATTGATGCACTATACTTTATTAATCATTTACCAATTTTCAAGCATTTAGATTTCTAAGTTTTCATCATTATAAATTCTCTCTGAAAATAACTGTATGCAGAAGGTATTTCTTTTTTTTATTCATTTTGAGAGAGAGAGAGTAACATCAATTTGTTGTTTTGCTTATTTATATATTTGTTGATTGATTCTTGTGTGTGCCTTAGGGATTGAACCTGCAACCTTGGCATACTGAGACAATGCTCCTACCAACTAAGCTACCCAGCCAGGGCCTGCAGAAGGTATTTCAAGCAATTCCCTTATAAAAGATTCCAATGAAAATTATGGGAAGCTGGAAATACTTCAGAGTAGTCACTGCATAGACGGTCTACAGATGACCCAAATTTACTCACTGCACCACTTGGCTGTAGAGGCAGAATATAGAAGCTAGGTCATCTCTAGCCACCTTTTTTCTCTTGACAGTAAACTGTTTTAGGAGCGGACTATTTACCTGCTGTCAGAATCCGAGGCGATTTCCTTTCTCCCTCCAAAGCGGATCTGGCACTGCAAGGAAAAAGAAGCCACTAAGATCAGCTGTTGGGATAGGACACTCAAATGTCACCAAACAGCCCACACAGGCCTTGGGGTCACCAGGGACACAGGGCCAGAAACTCTGGGTTGCTGAGTCAGGGTGTCCCCTGCCCTGGATGTCGGCCTAAGACAAGATGGTGGACATCCCAGCCTTCCAGCTGCCACTTAAAGGAAGTCCTTATGTCCCACTTGTACAGAAGTGCACCACGGGGGAAAACAACACTAAGAGGAAAACAGAAGCACGCAGCTTCCGCACATTATCTAAGAAACTTCTATGTGTCAGCAGCTGGCAATGTATATAACACGGGGCTCTTAACAGGCAATAACAAAAACTTCCACAAATCTGCAATGATGAGGCCCTTTTGACAGGGCCAAAGTTGTTATGACTGGCTAGAAAATTATGACAATATAAATCATACTTCAAACAAGTCATCTGGTTATTCAGAGTGACAATTTACCCAGGGTGGGTACAAACAAAAGCAAAGTATTTTCCTTTTTTTAAAAATTGTAAATATAGAAAACATAAAATTAACAGTTTAATCATTTCTAGTTATACAATTCAATTCACAATATTGTGCAACCATGTTCTCTTTTAAAGATGTGGAATCTCCAATGTGGGTGGCAGGCTTACAAGATTTCTGAACTTCCTAACTAAAAGACCACATATAAAATTTAAATGATACAGTTGTCAAAACTTATAGAACTGCACATTCAAAATTAGTGTATTTTATTGTATGCAAACTATATCTCAAAAACAATGTTGATTTTTAAAAGACATATATATACAGCACTTTTGTCCCCCAAAATAATAATAATAATAATGGCAGATCTGGGCATAAGCTCCAAAGTATTTGTTTAACTGCTACACTTAAAGTAGTTCCACTTGTCTCCTAATCTTCTTGCCATTGTTTCCATCTCTGGAGCAAAGAAAGAAGAAATGAATAATGTGGGCTCCTAATCTACAGTGGACCAGGGCCTGGTCAGACCTTTACCTACTTTAACAAATGCAGTTCTCTCAACCTCACTGTGCAGATAAGTGACCAGATTACAGAAAAGAAGAATGCCCAGAAAGGCTGCATGAGCTGTCCAAACACACACAGCTGGGAAGAAATGAAACTGGCATTTGACCCCAGCTACACCTGAGCTTGTGTTGTTTCACCCTATCAGGACACCTCGGAGGCTCGGGCTGATGCTAAAGTCTCTGAGCTCACCAAACCCCTAACGCAGTCAACACCTAACACACACATTTATTAAAGTATTTACCTCTTATCTCCCTATACACAAGCAAAAAATTGTTAGTCATCCCTTCTGAAAGGGATGACTTCTTGAATTCCCAGAGCTGGATCCTCGCTCTGCTACTTATTAACTTTGACACCTGATGAAAGTTATTGGTCCTTTCTGAGTTTCTGGTTTTTTAGCAGTAAAATGGAAATAATTGTAGGAACTATCTCACAGGGTGGTGGAAAGGATTAAATGTAAAGAATTTGGATATAAAGCAGAGAGCCCAGCACATGATGAATGTACAATAAATGATGCATGGCTGATATAGGCAGGCAAGAAAACATGCCAGCTCATGTCAAAGCTCACCTCCCACCCAGTCAAAAGCCAGGCATCAGAATAGCATCAACCAATCAGATCAGAGCCCACCTGGAGGATCCACACCATCAATCCTGAACATGGTTCGTTCCTTCCTATCTCTGTTCTTATGCTCACAGGGAACCCAACCACCTTAGCACCCATAAAAGTTGCCCTAAAACACAACTGCTTGGGAGTGAGACTTTGAAACCCACATCAGTGCCCTTCTCAAAGGGACATCCTGAAGGATGCAGTCCTCCAGAAGACTTGAGGAAGTCAGGACACAAGAAGGCTTCTGTCCCTACCTCTGACAGCCTTCCCTGCTCTATCATTTTCTGGGGGGAAATATTGGCCTCACTATTCCCATATACAAAGTGGGGAAAAGTCTGACACTATTACTTTATCGCAAGGTCAAACATGAGTGTTCCTCTTACCTGTTTCACTGCATCCAGCAGTCGCTCCAGCAGAAATTGTCTTTTAATGTCATTGTTCTGTGATCCTAAAGTGCAATAAGGCTTAATTAGTTCTGTTTGACATTAGCTTTCTATTAAGACTTTCTGACATATAGTATATGACTGCCCCCAACTAATATCAGTCTCCTTAATAAAATCCATAACAAAACCAGGCACCAATAATTTACATCATTACAAATGAAGTTTGACCATTTCCCTGTTATTGCAATGTGAATGATCAAATCCAGGGTTTTTTAACCTTGGCCCTACTGACATTTGGACCAGATGGTGGGGGCTACCCTATGATTACAGGACCCAGGCCTCTACCCACTAGATACCATTAGCGCACATGCATGCACACACACATACACTAGTCATAGCAATGAAAATGTCTCTAGATACCGTCTGGGGAACAAAATTGCGCTCAGTTGAGAACCAATATTCTACTTAAATTCTAACTTATGAGAGTAAGTTTCCTAGTGCATCGGTGTGGCTTGTTGGCTCACCTCACCATCAGCTCCCACATCCCTTCCCCACGCCACTGCAACACAAGCTGAAAACCTGATTGCTCCTTTTCCAAGCTACTCTTACACGGCTGACCATAAGAAGTTCTAGCTAATGAGGTGTAAGCAGAAGTGCACTGGGAGGGTCCTGGGAAAATTATGTCATCCTAATAAAAGAACAGATGTTAATGGCTTCATTCCTCCTTCCACTCTTATCCCTTAATCATAAACACATTGGGTGGAGCCAAGCAGCATCTTGCTACCATGAAGCAACAGGTCTGGAGGGAAGGCCAAGAGAATCACAAAGATATCAGCCCAATTATATCATTTTGCTGCTGAACCAATACTGGAAATCTGCTACCTCTAACACAGCAAATAACTCCATTTGTTCAGAACACTGTACATTGGGCCGTTACTTACAGCCAAAAGCTTTCCCAACAGATACATGTGGCATACACTGAACTCCTACTTAAAGAGGGTCTGGGGCAAGGACACTTCAAAATACCAGCCAGAACATTGTCAGAGCTACATCTGATGCTCCACAAGAGGCCCAGTGACTCCAACCAACAGAGACACGGCTATGTGTTATGATGCACCACACACAGAACACAGTTGTTTCAAAGGAGACTCAGAGTCAGAGTTACAGGAGCAGACGTTCCACCAGGCTCCCTCTTTCCTGGCCAACTCAACGTGGGCTTCTCCAGGGAGTACGGGCAGGGCATCATTTCAGAGATGGTCAGTGATTAAGCTGAGTCATGCCAGAGCTGCCCAGTTAATAACCACTGTGGCCTTGTGTTGAGCACGTCCTGCACGCCAGACACTCAACTGAGTACTCTGCATGCATTATGTTGTATAATTTTCACAGCCACCCTGCAAGCTAGGCATTAGGATCCTCAGACCACAGATGGGGAGACTGAAGCTCACAGAGGACCAACAATGGTGTGCACTGACTCATTCAGGATTTATTTAATTTCAATTATGTACCAGGCAATGTTCTAAGGGCTGGGGACCCAGGAGTTAAATGGTATAAAAGAGTCATCTTCTCACAGAGTGCAATTCTATTAGGAAGAAACGAATGGAACCTAAGTAAACAACTAAATGAGATGATGTTAGAGTCATACTATGAAGAAAAACCAAATGGGCTGCTGAGACAGGGAGAAAGCAAGAGGGCCACATTAGCCAGGGGAATCCTGGAAGGCCTTTCTGCACACGTGTGACAGTGAGCTGAGCCCTTAACAAAGAGAAGGAGTGGCCATGAAAAAATATGCAGACCAGGATTGTAGGCAGAACAAAGAGCCAGGGCAGAGCCCAGGAGGAAGGAACAGACTTGGCCTCTGGTCTTCCAGGCCCAGAAGGAAGTCTGATGTATCTTCAGCAAAAAGGGGGAAGTAAAGATCAGAGAGGTAGGCAGGGGCCAATCACAAAGGGTCTTATGGACCATGATAACAGGTTTAGTTTTTGTTCTGATTTGAATACTAACTAGTGTAACTGTGACCTTGACTCAAGACCATGCCCTTCAAATGACTGTGCTAGAACTACCACCACACAAGGCTCCTTCCTCACTCCAGGCCTGGAGATAAAACCAGTCAATAGATGCTCCACAGATACACAGTAATACGTCTGACTTCCCAAATGTCGACATTCTTATCTTACTGGAAGAGGTTTTGCAAAAGGACAGCCTACACATCATTGCCACCAGACAAGAGGCCATCTTACAGCGTCAATCGTGATGGAGACCCCCCCACCCAGGGCCCTCAAACATCTCTCTTGACACCTGTGTCTATCAATAAATCCTGCTCTTTATTTAGCAGAAAGTTTAGTTTCTGTTCTCCTCTAACACCAGAATAGAGAAGTCAGGCTTTCTTTCTTCCTTTTCCCAAGTATTGCACCCAACAACTCCACTCACCCTTGGGCAATGCCAGCTGGAAACCTGACAAGGTTTTGCACCCTGAAATGCTGTTGCTGTTCTTTCTGATCAGAAATGTAATTTATGTAATAGAACTATCATATGACCCAGCAATTCCACTTCTGGGCATATACCCAAAAGAACTGAAAGCAGGGTCTCAAAGAGAAATTTTATAGCCATGTTCACAGCTGCATTGTTCATGGTAGCTAAAACATGAAAACAATGCAAGTGTCCATTGATGGGTGAACAAACAAGCAAAATGCGGTGTACCAAACAATGGAATATTATTCAGCCTGAAAAAGGAGGGAAACTGCAACATGCTACAACATGGATAAACACTGAGAACATTTTGAGTGAAATAAGCCAGACACTAAAAGAGAAATACTGTATAATTCCACTTCTTTGAAATACTTAGAGTAAATGCATACAGAAAAATACAGTAGTTGTTGCCGAGGGCTAGGGAGAAGAAGGAATGGGGAATTGTTTTTTAATTGGAATAGAGTTTCAGTTTTGCAACAGTAAGAGTCATGGAGATGGATGGTGGTCATGGTTGCACAGCAATGTAAATGAATGTATTTAATACCACTGAACTGTACACTTAAAAATGGTTAAGATGAGCCCTGGCTGGCATAGCTCAGTGGATTGAGCGCGGGCCTGGGAACCAAGCAACCACGGTTCGATTCCCAGTCAGGGCACATGCCTGGGTTGCAGGCTAGTTCCCAGCAGGGGACACACGGGAGGCAACCGTACATTGATATTTCTCTCCCTTTCTCCTTCCCTTCACCTCTAAAGATAAATAAAATATTTTTTTAAAAAATGGTTAAGATGGCCCTGGCTGGTGTGGCTAAGCTGGTTAAGAGCATCATCCTGTAAACCAAAAGGTCAAGCGAGGGTTTGATTCCTGGTCAGGGTACATGCCTAGATTGCAGGTTCAGTCCCCAGTCGGAGGGCATACAAGAGGCAATCAACCAATGTTTCTCTCTCACACTGATGTTTTCTCCCTCTCTCTCCCTCCCTTCCCCTCTCTCCAAAATCAATAAGCATGTTCTTGGGTGAAGATTTCAAAAAATGATTAAGATGATAAATCTTATGTTGTCACAAAAAAAGGTAATTCATGAATTCATGCGAAACAATATACAACAATAACAAATCAGGAAAAATGTACAAAGAAAAATCTCCATCATCTTACTACTACTAATTTTTAGTGCAGTAATTCTCAAGCTTTTTTGTGCACACCAATTCCATGGAATGTTGTTAAAAGGCAGATTCTGATTCAGCAAGTCTAGGGTGGGGTCTGGGGTTCTGCATTTTTCACAAACTCCAAGGTGATGCTGATGCTGCTGTTTCTGACCGACATCCAAAGAGCAAGAATTTAGCACCCGCCTTTAATGATATGCACAGTTATCCTAGAGCTGTTCTACAGTCTCTTCCCACCAATGCTTTTTCTAAATGAGATGTCGACAGCCTCCTCCTCTGCCTTACCTTGCCATGGCTCTCTTGTGGTAGGAAGAGAAGCATGTCCTCTGTAGAGAAACAACCTGAGGTTGTGCAGGTGTCAGCCCCCAACTCCCGCTCCCTGGCTGCTATCTCTCTGGAGAAAAGTGCACTTGAGTGGGACAAGCCTGACCTCAGAAGGGGTACCTAGGGCCATCCTAGCCCTGAATGAGGATTAAGAAAAGGGGTCTCATAGGGTGGCGGTAGCACAGGCAGCCTTGAAAGCACTCATCAGCTACAGAGAACGCCTAAGAGACCCATGACTGTGAATAGTTGAAGGAGCACTAGTGGGAAGTCACAAGGCATCATGAGTCCTCACCCTGGCCAGGCTGCTGGCTGGCCATGTGACAGGAACAGTCCCTTCCCTTTCCCGGGCACTGGTTTTTGCATGAGCTCATGCCCTCCTAATTCTGCAGTCTGCCAACATGGGATCTCTGTGGAGCCAGGTAGGCAGAGAAATCAATGCCACTGATCTTTCTTATCTTCTCCCAGTGACAAAGAGGAGAAGATAGCACCCCTGCCAGGGCCAAGAAGAATCCTCCGGTCTCAAACTGATGCCCGCCTGCTGAGCTTCAGGCCTGGCCTAAGCCATGAAGTGACTGACATTTCATCCTTTCTTCCTTGACAAAGAAAGAAAAGGGGCTCCATTCACCAGAGCACTGAGGCTCAGAAAAGTCAAGATCTTCACCCAAGGCCAGTCCCACAGGAAATGTTCAAGGACGGATTCAATTTCAAGTCTACCGGTCCTGGCGCAACCATCTCTAAACCCTGTTCACTCTCAACCCTGAAATAAGCCTGCAGTTACGGCCCCACTGCCGGTTCAGGAATGATCCCTCTGTGGAACCCCAGGCTTCCTACCTCCTTTCTTCTCCAAAAGCAGCCTTCAGTCAACACTATCAACCAAAGAAGCCAGAACAGGCTTCTTTTTAATTTCTTGTGAGATCACCATCAATATGAAAATAAAATATGTAAAGCCACCCCAGGAAATATTGCCAGGTGCCCACAAACCTGTCAGAGAAATGCAGTGATCTCCTAGGGCTCTAAGTCAGAAATCACATGTGCGTGTAAAAATCACTCACCTGGTTCAAGTGCATCCCTATTGCTTGAATGTTTAGAATCTTTAGGACTGTACATTAATTTTTAC